CTGGTTATCGCTTCAGTTAATCCAACCTCCGTTCCTCCCGTTCCTTCGACGTTAGCCTTCCAGCTCGATTCCAAGGGTCTCGTACTATCCTTGGTCACCCTCGACCAATCCGGAATCTCTCCGTCGCATTGTCGAGCATCGCACGGCTCCCTTGGCTTTGTCTATTTCTATCGGTACTTATCCACGACAATTGCGTCCTCTTCGCGACCTTCTTGTCAACGTCAACCTCGCGATCAGTGACGGCTCCTCCTCGTGACGCAGGTTCGCGCGAAATTCGCAAAGACAGCGAACAAAACCTCGAGAGCTTCGCGTCGTCACTCGTAGCCGGTCAGAGCTGAGACTCGACCGAGAAAACCCTCCCTCCGTGAAATGCAGTCGTTTCCTCGAGGGGTCTCGTTAAAGCGTTCCATCAAGCGTTTCACGCCAGGCTTCTAATCGAAAAGTTAATTAGTGTCGTCGATGCTGGCAACGTTTCGAGGTTCCCTGACGCGGAAATTGCAAAGATTCCACGGAACAACGGTTTCGTTGCGGGAAACCTCGTCGAAGCTCGGGCTGGTCAGAATTTATAGCAATTCTTTGCTGAGAACCGACAGCACGAACGTCAAACTCGTGTTTTTCTCGTGGGCCAATTTAATCTTTGCTATCACGTTGCAGGCCAATGGTATATCGATTTTAAAAATATTTTGAAAGCAAGCGAGAAAAGAAAGAATCTAGGAGAAGGGTTTTTCGAACACTAAACTCTGTAATCAGACGATTATTTAAACGCTTGCTCATATCAACGTGTACCTTTGTTTCGCAATTTCGCAACTCGTTTGTCAACGCACGCCATCAGAGCCCGTCTCTATTACAAACGGCGAGCGTGTACGCGACGGTTCTCTCTCGTTTTCTGTTCCAGAAGTAGCTCCGCCATCGACACGAGCGAGTTTGCAAAAAAAAAAAAAAAAGAAAAAGAAACATGTATCGGGGAGTACGTTTTCGTTGGTCTTACCGTGTGTCTGAGCGCGATAATTAAAAGCCCAGCTAGGAACGAGACGAGGCTCTGTTAGCCAGGCACATTTCCATGCAAACGACGCTACCGCGACACACGCGTCCCTGTCCTCGAGGACCTAAAGATAGAAACTCGACGAAACTAAGCTCCGGAATAAACTCCCGTTCTCCGTGCGCTCGAAATCGACCGTTAAAAATACTTGAAATTTTATGAAACTTTTCACGAGCGGAACGATCGAAAACTTTGAATGACACTTTTTCAACTACTTTAAGGGAGATTACTTTGCGACGGATTTTCGTCCGACCTGGACACGGCTTCGTCGAGTTACGTGGACAGGGTCGTGTTTCGAGGAACTTTCGATATTTATCACGATCAACGATGACGCTTGTGCTGTGCATAGATGAGAAGTTGGCTGACGGTGTGATTGGTAACAGTGTTATACTATAGAATTCTACATAATCAAGTATAATAAAGTATAAGACTTGATTATAAGTACAATTTAATGCTATATACGGTCAGTCCCATAAATAATCGTATGTTTATTGAAGAAAGTTTAAATTAAACGAGAGGTTCGATATTTCCAAATAAATGTTTCTCCTCGAGAAACGTCGAACCTATCGTTTAATTTAAACTTTCTTCAATAGACATAAGGGGTACGAATATTTATGGGATTGGCTGTAAGTCATACACTTATAATACTATAAAAGTATAGTATATTATTATGCTTGATTGTAAGTATAACATAATACACTATTCTAGAATAATCAAGAAGATTAGTGTAAAAACAATGTTCCAAAAATAGAGTGGTTAGACAAACAAGCTATTCCTCGTGCATTTCATATTACAAAACAGAGAGCTGTTGTGGGTACATGACGCTTATTATTCTAAGAAATTAATTATGCTGTGCCAAAAAACGACCGCGTAAATTACAATGTACGACGAGCTTGGAGGGATTGAGACAGGTGGTTGGAGAGGCGTAATGAAGTAGAACGTGTCCTTTAAACGCGATGACGAAAACGTACATTGCAGGGCGAAAGAAAGGACCGTCCCGGATTAAGAGGAATATACTACTAGGAGTAAGTAGAATATGGACAGTGTCGAGTAATTTCGCCTTACGAAGGCTGACTATAATGTCTGACCCAACATAGCACGCGTGGCAGGTCTTTTTTCTCCTGAGAATACTTAACAAGATAAATGTCATCGTACTTTAACATTACCGACGTCGCAATAATTCTCCGAACGGCCACCATTTTCCTGTGTAAGGGTCGATTTGTCTCGAAACTGACTGACAAAATTTTCTTAGAAAACGATTCAAATAAAAACACGATACATATGTTTTGAAAATTTATGTTTATTCATTTAAGCGCCTTGTGTTTGAATTTTCTTAACGATTACGAGTGATAATAAAACGGAGTCCGTCACCGCTTTTGATATTATTTCTTCGATAGAATTTATCTTGTTAAGCGTACGCTTACGAGACCAAGTTTATAAAAGTCTTTACTCGCCACTTTATCTTTCGTAGCACCTGCCTCGAGGAGACCTTCTTTCGCTAGGCTACTGTATACGCGAACGGAACAACGACATCTTTGTACGAAAATATTTCTCGAGCGATCGGGAAAACGGCGTGAATTCTTAAAGAAAATAGCTCGTTGCCGTTGGCTCGTGTCGAGGACGCCGGAAAAATGTGACGCGTTTCGCCGACAGAAGGAGTCGGTCTCCTGGTGAAATATTCATTTTTTCGTTACGGAACGCGAACGCCAGTCCGGAGAATCGTCGAGCAAAAATGTCTCGTCGGCATAGTCGAGGTGACTCGTTCCCGTTACGAAAATCCGGAGGTATCCTTCGGATATTAAGAGGGCAGGGTATTTTGCGTCCACGATATTTCTGTAGGGAGAATTCCTGCTAAAATAATTATCTAAAAACTAAAAAAAGAAAATTAGATATCGCGCAGGAGTTTATATCTCTATCGTAGGAAAAATATTAATCCTTTGCACCCGACAGTTTCATTAGAGAGAGTTAACACGTTTGACGACAGAACATTCTGCCATGATTGGAGAGTCGTGAAAATAAAATATTTTACTACTACTTGACAGTGTACCAGTTTACAGCATAGGAAGCTATTTATGAACTAATACCGCTACGAACAATTCGAGATTCAACGAAATCTAAGATAAACAAAGACTGTTGCTTCTAAGTCGCCACTTTAGTGCAAAGGGTTAATTTACTAGGATTTTCCTTGCTGCTATCAGACAGACGCAATCGCATCGCATGTCGAGCGGTGAAGTAAAAACTGTACTTCAGTGTTCTATTGTGCTGTGAATCTCCAACTCGAGTTTCATTTTTCTTTTAAATCGTGTGGCTAGAAGGGTTAAGGAAGCTCCCTCTCCACCTGGAATTCGCTCAACTAAACACGGTTTGGTATCGGGAGGGTTCAGCTCGTGTCTGGATGAAAATCCGAAACGAGAGAACAAGAGGTCGACGTCAACGGAAGTTTTTTTAGCAGGAATTACGTCACGACTGAAATTTATTTAATTAGCTGCACCGAATACCGCGAGTGAAAGTACAAAGGCGAACAAACGAGTCGCGCCCGCGGCATTTTCGCTCGACCCGGAGATGTCTGTTCGCGCGGGAATTGGCTTTCGCGTGCTACGTTGGCGAAGCAAACGCGCAAAGTCAGCACGGGGACAATAGACCTGATGCTTACCGCTAAAAAACACGAACCAATGACGGATAGATATCGAACAAAGGGCTTCTCGGCCGGTGCACGTAATCCCGGAGCACGCGCGGCTTGTTTTCCGCCAGGACAAAGGGAGAAACAAGACGAATGAGAAAACAGATTTGGAACGGGAAAAGGTACTCTCGGGCGATGGGATCCAATGACGTACTCGTTAATGTCGGTATCGATTCCGAGGCATTGTGTCAAGGCATCAAACAGGTATCGAAGCGAATTCTCGTTTATGTCGTCGTACGAGTTAATTTTTGGCGAAAGAGCATCGATTTCAGAACACGTCCCAGTTCTATCGCTGCTATCCTTCGATCGGTGATTGCGCGGATGGTGGCAGTACGCGGTATCGCGCACTTTCAGCGGGCGCGTCCGAAACGAAGAAAAAGGACCCGCGAGAAAGAGAAATGAGGCGAAAACGAAGAAAATGCGAGAGCCACGGATAGATAACAGAGAGAGTCGGGTAAAAAACTGAGAAAAGGAAGATACGGTTTTTTTCTAGCCCCTTGGAGTTCTTATTAATATACGAGACGAGTCGTGCGCGAGGAATTGCGTGCCATTTTTGCTGTTCTTTTCAGACGTCGCGCGATACCGTCGAGCGAAAACTTTCGCGTATTTCTCGACGGTAGAACGTCCCTCCTCGATTTTCCCCGTCGGAAAGGAAACGAGAGACGATAACCGAGCTGCCAGTGCCGGAAGATCGAGAATCTTCGAGAGAGGAGGAAAAGCGTGGAATTCGGCCGAGTCGCGGGACACGTAGCGAGCATAACGCAGCGGACGAGAACCCAAAACGCGGCTCGCAGAGTTCGCAGGGTGATTTATGGGAGCGCGTGTACGGCTGCTGAGCCGCACATGGACCGCCAACAGAAACGTCTTGTGTTTCGCGTCGTACCGTCTTGTTATCAATATTATTATTTATATAAAGCCTCTGATACAGCGAGGAAAATATTGAGGTTGTAACGAAAGTTCGCAGCGTCTTTTGCCGAATGGCATTTAACGCTAAAGCTACCAACGCTTAGTTTGTACCTATTTCTGCCATGATCGAGCAAATAATTAATCTTAAAGACAGTTTTCCATTAAATGCAAAAATATTTTATGTGGTACTAAATCGAATAATGAATGAAACAATTGTATATAAATCATATGACACATATAAGAATTATATACAATGGTTTGAAAACTGTCATTTGACCGGTTGTGGTGGGTTTAGTGTTAAATACGTGCACTTGTTACAAAATGAAATGCACTGAATTCGCATCTAAGTACAACCATTAAAGCGATAACGGGTCTACGTCTATCCATCGTATTTTCAAAATTTCTGGTGGCTGGTATAATGCCACAAACATCGTGGAGGTAGAGTCTTGCCGACGCTAATCGCACATGCCAAGTGACAAGTGAGGCGCCGATTGATGCGGAATTGCGCAAACTGATAATCTGCTCCAATCTACCATCGCGGCGTTCGCGGCTTAAGGCAAAAGGCAACCCGAATAGATTACCCGTCTCGAAAATGAATCATGGCCAACTTCCAGGATCAATTACTTTTCGAGACTAATCTCTATCGATTTAGAGTATCGAACTACGGCTGCATGATTGATATCCTAGCTAACGATGGGACCGAATTCAATACGTACTCCAAGTCGAATCCAATACATCATCGCTTCATGACGTTCGATTATTACTCATGAAACGTGGTAGTTAATTGTATATGCTTGTGAAATAATCTGTACACGAAGAAAGAAAAAAAAAAAGAAACAGAGGGTAGATTTCAAGATATTTCAAATTATCACTTCGTGTTACTCAAGTACAGTCAAACCTGTTTTGTGCGGTTTTGTTTTATGCGATTTGTTATGTGCGAAAGTTCCTTTTGTGCGGTATATGAAAATAATATGACACTGTACATTTAAATTTAACGAACGCGAGCATATAATTGCAATGGATTATTCATAAAGAAAGGAGAACGAAGCGACGATCGCGTATTGCAGGAACGTGTCGTTTATTGCATTGCGGGCGGTGTGTGGCTTGGCATCAGTTACATACTTCCCGACCTGTGAAGTGCGTGCATACGCATCTTTCGATCATTAAGATAGGTTTAATTTTTAAGTGAGATTAAAGGTAAATTAATTATTCTTCCTATTTATATATAGTTTCTTTATGATTTTTATTTTACTTTTAGACAGAAGCACTCCCTTAAAATGAATATTCACAAATGAGACTTTTCTTATGGCGTCCCTCTCCACCGCATAACAAAATATTCTCTTCGATACTGTATGAAAAATTATTTGTTATAGCTGTTTATGAAGTTTCTAAATATTTTTTTTTGCGTTTTTTTTTATGCGATCCCCATCTATCGCTCAAAAACTGGTTCGACTGTATTCACGTAGAGATCGAAGTTCTCGAGCCAAATTCGAACCTACTTCCAAGGTATTTGACCCCATCCCTGATCATAGTCTATATTCCACTAGACCGCGTCGCCGGTACGCCCGCGTTGACAGATTCCGCGCGTTATTCTCGGACGCGTGCGAATTCGTAAAGAAGGAGCAAAAGGGAGGAACAGTGCGCGGGCAAAAGGAGCGAAATTGAACGCTAATCCAGCGGCTCGACTCTAGGAGCGCAAGACGGAACGTCGGAACGGCAGAACAGCAGAACGGAAGGAAGGCACGCGTGGTAGTCGCAAGAGAACGGAAGGGTAGGACGGGTTGGGAAGCAGTGGTGTGCAGGGGGCGGTGGGTTCCATGGTCGGCGGGTTGGCGGTGAGCTCTCAGTCTGTCCTGCGCCGTCGAAACGAAGGAAGCGTCGTTCGGCGTCGAGCGCGACGTCGAGCGCGACGAGCCGACGGGACGACGAGCCCGTACCCCTTAGTCCGCGTTCGCTCGCCGTCTCGAGCGTCACATTTTCGAGCTTCTGATTACGGGATCGCGCGCCCTCGCCTCTCAGCCTCGTTCACTCGACCGTCGAGGAGTTTCGACCGAGGACAAGCATCGCTTCGAGTTCGTTTACTCCATTCTCACCAATTAATTCTCCTTCGAAAACGTTCGTGTTCCTCGTCTCTCGCCCGTCGCATCTCGTGGCTCGTGTCGTTCAACGCAAGGAAGGAGGCTGGATCCTGAGAAGCAACCAACCCGAAACTTTCTCGCCAAGGATTTATCCGAGAACTAGGCGGCGCATACCGATCGAGGTACGTTTCCTGCGACTCGTTTTCTCGTGACTCCGCGCACTCGCAGACGAAACGGACGAGAATCCTTCCCGACGGACGGATAGAGGATTAAAACGCGCCGTCGGCCGTCGCGTTTCGCCGTCACCCTCGTATCGCTGTCGGATCGTCGAGGCAGATGTTGGCGCAATCGTTTTAATTAGCCGGCACGTCGTTCCGCGCCGCGACTCGCTCGGTGTCTCGATCGCGCGACCCGAGCTTTGGATGCCAGGACGCAATTCATTTTTCGCGAATAGCTTGTGTTTCCCACGCAGCGTTGATTTTGCTCCACTCGAGATGCGGTTTTGCGCTCGGTTCTCGGTTCTTAACGAGAGCTCGTCGACCTCCGGCGCCGCGATTTTGCGAAGTCGTAATTGCGCGGGTATCGCGAGGAACGGCTCCCAACGAACCGTGAGGGATCTATTGTTTCCGGTCCCTGGCATCCGGAACTTTGGTTCCGCGGAGAATTCACCGTGTACGAGAAAAATTGCGGGTACGATGGACTTTTTGCTCGTCACGTTGGCGTCGTTGCGGGGGTCGTTGTCTCGCGCGCGCGACACGCTCGCCTCGACAAACGTTTTTACGCCTCCGACGGTGACAGAAAAATGCTATTAACGGCGCGCGGTCGTCGGGGCGAGGTTTCGTCGTGACTCGAAAAACAAAAAACTGATTGAAACGAAACCTCGACGAAAAACCCCTTCGATACTCGGTGTCGGAGCAACCGAAACTTTGTTTTCCGCGTATCGGGGCGTTGATTAACGCTCGATCGTTTCGAAATTTGCATCGCGTAGTTTCGCGACTTGCCGCCCACTTGGGAAAGAAAGTTTACTCGCCTCCGACTTCGACGGTTGAGTTATCGAGTTCGAAAATGAGTTTACGGCCGCGTATACTTGTTCGACGTCCCGCAACCGGGTGGACGCAAACTTGCCCGCTTGCACGCGATTTCGAAGGTGCCGGCAAGTTTTCGTCGAGCGTAATTTATATGGTCGATATCGGTTTGGGGTCGAGAAAACGGTGCGAAACGTGGCTGGTGACGATGACCTAGGCGACGCTGTGATAAATCAACGGAGAAGACTGTGTCACGATACAATGTTCTATAATATTCGAGGGAGTTAGAATAAAAATAAATAAATTCCGGGTTGTCCAGAAAGTTCGTGGCATTTTTTATGAAAAATTCAAAAACACGTTTGAATTTTGATATACATTTATTAAACAATATAGGTACCAGTTTGTTTCACAATTTTTCCACCTTTTAAGAACTGTATGCATGTTATTTGTTTTCAAGCATTCCTATATATTCAGACCTGTACCATCTTCCAAAAATCGACATGGACTTTCCAGACAACCCGATAAAATGAAAACGAAATAGAATCGAAAATACTGACTATTTGTACCAGGTTTTAACCCCTTGTCTCACAGTGACCTCATTGAAAATGTAACGAATACAACCCCTAAATGATTTGGTAATATCGAGCAATAAAACTTCAGAGTTAATCGTTATCTATAGTATATGTAACTAAGAAATAATTTCTTTTCCGAAGGTAAAATGAAATTTATGCGACAGAGGGTTAAGAAAATCGCTGGAGGTACACGAGGGAGGTTAACTGGATGTCGGAGACCTGTAGAGGGCAGGTAGGGGAGCGGTGGAAGAATGACGAAAAGACGAAGGGAATCGTGGAAGAATCGTGGTGCCGTTTATTCAGGGGTTGTGGAATTTTACTTGGAAAGGGGAAATGCAAATGCGGGACATCGACTGGGTGGTCGCGTGACTTCCACTCAGGGTTTCGGAAAATCGGTAACGATCGTTTCTAACAAGTAGGAAACTAACACAGATTTTAACTAAACTCACAGATAATTATGCACCAACGAATGTTGTCCCTGTGATAATTATAGTAATAATTATTCACAATTGTCGGATTAATGACTAAGCGTAAAATATATTTGGAATCTCCAATTACGTATAGATAAATTGTCACATTTGATTGTTCATTAATCGTTAATAGCGATTACCAGTTTCACGGTAATTGTAATCATGGATTAAGTTTTGCCCACTGCGCAGGAGTTGGCACAATCGTTGTCTTGTGTTTAGTAAAATATAAACGCGTAGAGTACGTAAGTATGGTAAAACTTGATACTGTCGCGCTCGCGGCGAAGGAATGCCGCCTGTCGCGTCGAGGGAATCCGACGGTTGCACGAATCGCGAACAATGGGGATTTTTCGCGATTCTGACGCGTTCACGTAGGTAGATCGGGCCTGGAAAATTTAAAGCGATAGACCGAGTCGGTACGACGGAACTTCGATCCGCCGCGGTGGGTTCTAGCGAATAAAACCGCATCGTTCGATACCGGTTTAATGTTTCTGGTAGCGTTGGACGCGAACTGGTCGGTCAGAAGCGCGAGCTTCCGTCCGATTTTCCGAGAGTTCGTCGAACCTGCGGTTTCCATTAGCCACGGTCGTCCCCTGCCGTCCCACCGACGCAATACGGGGAACAGTCGGTTGTTCTCTATCGAGAGCTGGATATAAAACGCTCCGATTGTTTTTTGCGGCTGGCAAACAGTTCGGTTTATCGTCGAACAATGTCAAAATTTTCAACGGAAATTCGGTCGGCGTGGAATGGTTTGTCGCAAAAGCATCGCCGAGACTGGAGAAGAATCAACCGATCCGAGGTAATAAAGCGGTCCATTTCCCCGCAGCGGAACGTCGATCGGGTAAATCGAAGCTACGGTCCGGCCGCTCGCTCCTGTTTTCCCATTTTATTAAACGGGCACACACGTAATATCGTCCGCTACCAGCGTAAATCGATGTCTCCGTTTTCTGCGTTCGTTATCTCGCGAACGGTACCTAGCCGCGAGGCCGTTGGTCTCCGATTCTTTTCGTATCGCTGAATTGGTCGTCGCGGTCGCGGGGAACGATCTTAGTCTAGTGGCAAAAGGGAGACGAGGAAAGAAGCTGAAAGACGCGCGGCGCCATCCTTGAACTAGGTCGATCCGTCGGTATCCTGCGAATATCGCTGCCTCGTCGACGACAAATACCCTCGACTTCCTTCATGAATTGCAAATTCGCGCGTTGTTTTTTTCCACGTTCTCCAGCGATATTGCCGCGTGGACGAGCTTAACTTTCCTCGACGAATAACGCTAGGCGTGGTAACGGAACTATTACCCTGATCGCCGAATGTTCTCTTGGAATTCTCTTACGGTTCGCGTATGCGTGAAAGAATTCGGCCCGTTATGGACAATAATGCTCGAATGCTTTGAATATTGGGACGAGGAATTCTTTCGACCTAATCTTGATGCTTGGCATAGTTGTTGATAAAATACCAGCTATGCCGCATTCTGGTTACTTTCCTGTCACTAAAGTTTCGTTTAAAGCAGGGTTCTTTGGGCGAACACGTAGGTCATTTTCAAGAGGTTTGCATTTTGGATCTATCATCGATGATACAATTATTTCAAATGAGAAACGGAAAAAATGGGGACCCTTTGGATGAAAAATGTTCTTTGCATTCCAGCCCATTAAGACCCTCAACAATTTCCTTTGACGTACCGATACGATTCGAAATCAAACGGATACCTTCACCGGTCTTCGGTTCGCAGTATGCATAGTCTGAATTCGCTGTTCAGTTGTATTCGCCCGCCGTAGTTCGTTAGGTACATCTATGAAAGCGTACTTTGAATCTACCGTACACATTGCCCGGAATTCGACATTCGGTCAGACTATCGTCTGGTTTACGTCAACGGACCTTTACGCTAACTCGTTTTTTCATCGTTTCCCGGATTTCGTGGTCTGTCAATCCCGAAATAAACGCTACCGAGTTAAGCCAGGCAAACAGACGATGAATTCCTATTGGTATCCTCCAGCGTTCGCGGGAAATTCGAGCAGTCGATGGCTTCCCAGCGTAATCGAATCCCTTTGAATACGAATCTCTCGCATTTCTAAGCGTGGATTGGTTTCCAACGGAAACTTCTTTCGCGGCAATGGTTCGGGGCGGGTTACCTACGATTGCTTTAACCCCCTTGATGTTAAGCTCCGTACGTCATATGAATCTTGAGTTTTTCGTCCTACGCTGCCTCAGTGACAAAATAAATAGCGACATCGCTACATGAACTCGAAATTGCGATGATCCGTAGTTCCACTAGAATGCTACTTTATTTACACTAATATAGAGAAACTTGGGATGCTTTTCACTTAACCCTTTGCATTCCTAAGACCACCTGTACTGCCCAGGGACTTGAAAGCGTTCTACTCCTACGGTCATTAAGTTTTAATAAGCGATCACGTGATAGTGCACTACGTTGTAGAAGAAATAAATAACTAACCCAGTTTCTGTTTTTTGGTATTATTTTAAATAAAAATAATTTTCTTACAGTAAGTAAAATGTTGAAAGGAACAGTGAAAAGTTTGATAATACAGAATCTAGCAGTGATAATGTAATAGATTGTAGAGAGTTTTTCGTGACCATTCAATAACTCAGAAATCCAAGAAAAACGGTCTTGGATTTGACTACCTGCATATAGCCAAATTGCTTGGAGTGCAAAGGGTTCATTCTTTCGTTACCTCAGCCTCGACTTCGAGAAGCTACAAGCTGCAAACAACTACTCCCCAATCTCTTAACCCTTTACCTAGGAACACGATGTCTTTACTACATAACCGTGCACTATATTCGTGGAGCGTATGAGTAAACGCGAATATCGTAATATGTTTCAGATCGCGAGCTACGTTGGAACGATCGGGACTCTTCGCTTCCGCCGAGGCTCGACGGGATTTTAACGTCGCGTCGTCGGGGAACCGAGCGCGGTACATGCCAGCGACAGCGAACTTTCTACCAAAGTGATTATCGAAGGAATAAAGTGCCAAAGAACTCTGGAAAATTAACTAAAGTGTGCGAGGAACCTGCAGAGGGAAGAAACCTGTGAGACACGAAACGCAAGGGGAGGAACGCGAGCGAGAGCAGGGAAGGATGAGAAACGGCGCCCCGTCGAAGAAGAGACGATCGTGGTAGAGGGCAGAGGCGTGGATCGAGGTGGATCCGGGTCGATCGGTGTGATGGTCTCGGGGTGGTGTCCGTGCGTGCCCCTCGGCCGCCGGGAATCATCGGCCCAGCAGCAAACCGCCTCCTCTTCGAGGAGCATCGGGAACGACGGTGCACCGTTCACCGTCAGCGCCGCGACCGATCACGCAGAAATGGTCCAGATGTTCTACTACGAGAACCGCGGCAAATGCTGCAAGAAGCTTCTTCGATATAACGGATATCCGAACAAGGTAAAGCACGCTTATCTCTCGCCCCGTCTCACCCCTCGAACGGTTCACACGGTTTACCGTCAACAAAAAATGCACGTTAATGCGTTCAGCATGGTTGATAATTCCTTTCTTGTCGATAAATTGTTGTTGCGAAGCGTGCGATTTCACTTTGGAATTAAGAACAATGCGTGGGGGTAAAGAAAGAATCTGTTTTAATTGCGATATGACGGGTTTCGGTTGGAAGCCCTCTTCAGGAATATAAATCTCAATGCAAGAAGTAATTTGATGTAATGCAATTAAGGAAAAAGAAACCTAGGTGAGAAACGAGGAATGTACAGTAAATCCCATAAATATTCGTAGCCTCTGTGTCTATTGGAGAAGTTTCACTAATTTAAATAATAGTTTTCATGTTACTATATGAATTTTTCGTTATAAATATGTGTATGAATAAGCTGATATATGTATAAATTTGTATATATATCAACATATTCATACAAACATACACTTGGAAACATCAAACCTACCCATTTAATATAAACAAATTTCTTCAATAGACATAGAGGGTACGAATACTTATGAAAATGACTGTATAATGGGAAGAAAAGCTCTTGCAAAAGTCACATTTTAACGAGGACCTGATGAATTAAATTCTTCATAAACTGTTGGTAATTTTGTAGTACAATAATGATTTACAAGGTCCAAAGACCCAACCAGCTCAACTGTTCTCGTCGTCAACGATTTCTTTCGGAACGTAGGAACACCTTCGCTCTGAAACGTTTGTCGACTTCTTTACGACCGCTTTCCAGTCGATAACTCGACAAATTTCATACGGCGTTGAATGCAAGGGAACAGCGGCGGAGTCGACTAAAGACGGTCCAGAGCTGAGGGTCGGCCAGCCACCGAGGTCCTTTGAGGTTCTTGGCGAGCTGTCAGCAACAAACGACTATCGAGAAATTCAAACCAGCTTTCGAGAGACTGCACTCGAGAAACTAGAACTCGATCGCACACCGAGGCGCCGTTTCTCCGCCATCTTCAGTTTTTCGCGTAATCGCTCTCAACTACGTATTTTCGCCACAGGGCCAGCCAACACTGTCCTATTCTACTTCCATTCCCGGATCGAACCTCGACGTTCTTCTGTATCAATAGAAGCGTGTTTGTTGGTCTTTACTGGCCTTCAGAAACAGTTTTCGAATTTATATTTGAATATACGAGATCATACGATCGTTCTTCATCCTCGGAACGAGTCGAATACGGTACCAAAGTTCCTCTATAGAGAGGGTGTCCCCTGACGCCTCTCTCCGACCGACTAAGATAATTGGAAACTACTTTTACCTCGATTCGCGCAGTATTTGGCGTGTTCGCGGCGCTGGAGCACCGAACCGGACGTATCGCGTTGGTCGAGGGTTTCCGGGTCTCGGGAACGGAAGAATACGAGAAAAGGGAGAGCCGGTTCCAACTTCACGGCTTGAGAGGTTCCAAGTTTCCGAAAGCCCCCGGGGAAATAAATCGATTCGCTATCTGAATAGCCATTATGCGGACGTGGCTCGGAGGCAAGCAGGAACGGGAGAGGCTGGTAGATTGGGACGTTGGCTCGGCGGTAACGGCGGCCAAAGCGTACAGCCGGGGAATTCGAAAGACGAAAAGGGAGACAAAAGCGAGAGGGAAAGGGAAGAAGAAAGGAACAGAGTCGATGCCTTATCCGTGTCTGGAACTGGGCTAATGCCTCGGAGTTTCAAAACTCGTATCGGCCGGAATTTTCTTTCAATAACCGAGTTATTATTCATCCCAGCCATTTATTACTCTCCTATCCGCGTAGTTTCCTTCTCCTTCGCCCTTCGAATCCCGCCTAGCCTACCCGAGGCCCCAAAGCATCCTCTCGGTCGCGAATCAAACTTTTCCTTTGTAAGGGGAAACCATAGGCCGGGCTTCGCCTCGTCGGGAAAAAAGAGTATCCGGCGTATCTTTACGAGGGGATGCTCCCGATCGTCGATCGCCCGTAAAATATTGTGTCGGGCCTCGTAAAAATACGCTTACGTCTTCGAATCTCGCGGCGCCAGCATCTATTCCGACGGAGGACTCGTCTTTTTCTTGCGATGATTCGCGTAGGTCGTCTCCTTTCGAGAATCTCAAACTGAATTGTCGCATAACCACGATCGTGAAGCTATTTGGGAGCACGAACAGCGCAGCAAACAGAAGGGAGATATTTGATCTCTTATCGGGTAGTTCCGTCTGTTTTCTGACGCGCTTAAAAGGTCATGTATAGTAAATGGACTGTGGATCTTATATGCTTACTGTCAGTCCCATAAATATTCGTACCCTCTATGTCTATTAATCAAAACTATTATTTAATTTAATTAAACTCCTTCAATGGACATAGAAGGTATGAATATTTATGGGATTGACTGTATGTCGTACACTGATATGAAAAACATATAAAAATATATACATCATTCGTGTTGAATATATTCTACTAATCGATATATCTGTTTATATCGTTTACGTCATAAATGCATAGCATCGGTAGTTTAATAATAAATGACGAAAGCATTAACCTTCCGACTTTCGATCTGGCCTTGGATTTCCATCTCGGAACGCGAAACCAGGGAGAAAAGCGACGAGCAAAGAGGGAAAGAAAAAGGTAAACACGCGCGTTGGTCGCATCATCCCCGCGGCGTTCGTAGTCCCGATAAAAGAAGCATTGTTTAGCTCGTTGAATGGTGTAGGCGGCACCGGCGCTCAACCTTTCCGACTTTCAGTGTCGTAGACGGTCTTTATGTCGGCGCGATTAAAGATATCTGGCTGAAAGGGTTTCGCTTCCTTCGCGGCGGCTTTCCCTTTCTTCGCGAAACCACACCGGCCATCGAAAGGAAAACGTCGCGGGACTCGAAGCAGAAAAAACTTGAGGAAAATGTGGCTGTCCGCGAAAGCTAAAGCGCGCCAATACTACGCCTCGAGAGTTTGTCTCGTTCATCCGCTCATCGTCGTTGCCCTTCCTCGTATTAAACTACGGTTTCCGCAACACGGTCGACTCGAATCTCTGAAAGCCTGATCTGGAAATTGGAAAAGCGACGAATCGAAGGTCGAGGACTTGGAATAAATTCTTGCTGGAACACTGGCAACGCACAGAATTTTATCGGTCGTTAAGAAGAGTGGAAACAATGTTTTTCCACGGTAGAAATGTTTTTTACTTTCTACTTTGGTGTATCTTAAACATTTGTTTCTTTTAGAGTAGTTGTTAATGCGTATGCGACTATAGAAGTATAGAAGAATATATATGCTGAATTGCAAGTAGTTAAGTAGGAAAGTATCCAACAGATATATTAGGTATGAAAAAGTAACGTACCTTTTTAAACTAAACTTACTGTTTACATTCCAAATGAGCGCATGAAAACAAAATGATAGAATGTTAAGGCAAATAATTAATTTCTACACGTAACATGTACGTATATACATGCTTCATGGTTCTTCAAAAAACATTTTAATAGAAAATGTGCACGATAAGCATTCATGGGGGCAAAATAGCTGGAATGGAGAATAATTAATGGAATGTATCCTTAAAAAAGCACGAAAAATGTTCCGGTTTTGTTTCGCCGCGTCGTAATCGATCTCAGGGATGATAAACGAGCGTCGAGGGTTGCGACTTTCTCCGAGCCAGGGTTCTTTCGTGCGACGCAAAGGAGGCCTTCCGACCCCTGCTTTCGTCGAATGCCTCGCGTTCTCGTTCCCGTTCTTCGGGTCGATTAATTTTCCGTTCAACGATGCGTCGAAACTATTCCATTTACGCTCGTGCAGGGAACGGTTATTAAACGATTTAACCTTTCGCGGTTTTCGCTTAAATGGGGCAACGAAAATTTAGTATCCCTTTGCGACGTAAAAGGAGATCGAACTATTGCTTTCCGATTTCGACCAGACGAAAAGATATTAGTGGGACCGAAAAGTAATCAACATTTTTACAACATTTATTTATTAAAGAAATCTTAAATGCAAATCAACAAAACTAATTTCCATCATTTTCTAACACTTCTTGCCAGCGTAAAGGCAGTTGTTCGATTCCCTTTTGAAAATAGTCTTTCGATTATTCCTTGAAAAACTTTTCCAAGTCCTAATACTTCGCGACTGCAGTTTTTAGAACGGGGATGCATTTAAGAGTGAAATTCAATTTCTGGTGCAATACAGTTAATACACTCATGCAAGGATCCATTGAAATTTACGTATGCAATTATAGTTCGCTTACACTTCCATTAATGTTTCAATGAATTCGCTTTGACCTAAGGCTACTTGCTGTACAGCAGACTCTGACAACAGATCTTTAGTGGACCTAGACGCGAACTCTGGGCACTTCGCTATTGCTCAGATTTTATGCAGAAGATCATCATCGCGCTCGACAATCCGAGTTTATCTAAATAGCTGTACCATTTCAACTCGTTGACATATGAGTCGTTCATTGCACAAATCGATTAACTCCATAAAACAAAAAGTTGAGCAATGCGGTGAAATAATGTACATTGTAATTACATGTAACATTGTTTTTTAAAATTCCCTTTATAATATAAATTGAAATAAATATTGTAGAGTGCTTAAATTCAGATGTAGCTTTCATCCAACCGTATATAAAATTAATAAGAAAGAATAGCCAAAAAATAAACGCCAGTAATGTTACAATTTTTATGTGGCTGGTGGAGTTAATCGATTTGTGCAGTGAACGGCTCATCTATCCTAATTGTCGTCGGTTTGGCGATTTATAAGGGGTGATTGGCCGTCGGAGATTTTTTTAAAGTCTGTTAAAAACCGTATCCATCGCGCTGGAAGTTTCTATTTTGTCTCAAAAAACTTCAACTTTTTTACCGTTTGCTTGTTCGAGTGCAGGCCGGGTGTCGCGCGAAAGTAATTAGTTTCTAACGAGCGCGAGAAGTTTCAGCGAGTCTCTCGTTACGGTCACCCGATGTGCTTTCTCCGATGCACGAAGCAACGCCAAGACCAATGGAAGAGCGCGAAGAGGATGAAGAGGATAGGGGTCGCGA